GAGAGAGGGGGTTTCTAAAGTTAAAACTGAAATTGAATTTCAGTTTTAAGAGAATTGGGAGGGAAATTTTGAAATCCAATTGAATTCCAAAACGGTCATGGCATTAAATAGCATTTAATGGGGAAATCTCCCTAGTGTGGCCGGCGGCATGCTGGGAAGGGGAGAGGCAATCTCATGAGGTGGCTTCCCATTTGAATTAGTGATGTGGCACAAGGCGATTAAAACTCCAATATCAAATGGAATTAAAATTAGGAACCGTCATGAAAACTTTTCAAATTTGGAATTCCAAATTAGGAAGAATTTGAAATTTAAAATTCAAATTTCAAATTTGGGTATGTGGTGGAGATGGGGTGGCCGGGTGAGGGGGGGCGATGCGACGGCAGGGTGGTTGGTCGGGGCCGGGGATGTGGCCAGTGGTGGACTTCCAAGGGGGGCGGCGGCAAGTGGAGATGGGAGGGCTATTCTTGTACTGGATGGGAAGGAGATGGATACGAATACTAACGAGAAGATAAATAAAATAAATTTAACCACGAATCGCGGACTCTTCCAACGATTGGTGGGCCTTGCGAATTGCTCCCCTTGAGCTCTCTTCCCTCTCAAGCACTCATGCTAGAAATGTAGAAACAAACATAGCTTTTCATTCATCATTCATTAGTTTATTACATAAGAAATGGCCATATATATAGGCCTAAAATGACAAAGGAAGTAATAGACTAAAATGCCCCTTGGGCTACAATAGAGACCAAATACCCATAAGGGTAAAAATGGAAAAACTAAAATAAAATAAATTACTACATAACATGACAAAATAAATAAAGCTCCTGATCGTAGCCGTCGATCTTCCGGTGTCTCCGATGGCACACATGTCGAAATTGCTGACGATGTCCTCATCAATATGTGTTTGGAGGTTTCCTATGAACAATAAATCATGTGCAATAAATGCAAGGATACTCATATAGTCAACAATAATTAAACCTCCAGCAAAAGCGACAATTCCCTGCAATCAATGACAACTGATATACAATGAGTGTGATAACTCCTTCACACGAACAATGTGCGTTGTCTATAAACAAAGGCGATGAACTTGCAATGGGTGCAAACATCAACAAGCAACTATAATAGGTTTATTATACACACAATAGTCTGCTTGTAGATTGAAGTTGTGACACTTGTAAGCAATGGTCGACAACCCATCATATGCATAACGTCCTGCAATGTGCACAAGATCTTTCATAACATATGTGATAACTTGCATGTGGACACTTATAATATGTGCAGTGGTCCACCTACGGGTGATGACTAGCAGTATGCAACCAATGTGACATAGCTTCTATAAACACAAATAAGATGATTTCAATGAGCGTAACATACCATCTACCATCAAAAGTAGCAAACTAGTGATAAACACAAACATCTATGAGTTGCTGCAGAATACCCGTTGTGTACGCAATATTTTATCTACAAGAGAATATAGAAAAAATGTAGTAGATGCGAACACCTACGAGCAGCACTAGAAGATCTACATTCAACACAGCTTGCTCGTAGATACTAGAAGAAGGTCTGTGATGCATACAATGGACCTGCCTATGAGTAACGATAGTGGATTTGTTGCAGGTAGGGTGGTGCTCATATAGGCATAAGCGAGAAAATCACAACAAATATGATACATTGCCTATAGTCAAAAGCAACGAGCATGTGAAAAATAAAAGCATCTATGAGCCACTATAGGAGATTCTTCATTTACACAACGATCCACCTATGGGCTAAGTTGTTGATTTATGAATGCCCGCTGACGACCTATAAGAAAATTCAACAAAGTTTGCAATGCAGGACAGCTCACCTGCATGAAGGAACCAGTGACCTATTGCATAATGAATACTGAGTGTGTTTATTCATATTTTTAAGAATAAAGGTGATGCACAAGATTGTGCGAATTATAGAGGAATTAAGTTAATGTGTCATACTTTAAAACTATGGGGGAGAGTTATGGAGCATATGTTGCAGCGGACACTAATGTTTCTCTGAATGAATTTGAATTTATGACAGCTAGGTCTACTATAGAAGCAATACATTTATTGAGAGATTCGATGCCGAAGTATAGAAAGAATAAGGAGGATCTACATATGATTTTTATTGATTTAGATATGTGTTATAAAGATTTCTACATAAGAAATGGGTTAATAATGCTTATATTCAAGTCATTAAGGATATGTATGCATGAGCTGTTACTTGTGTTCAAACACAAGGTGGTTTGATCAAGTATTTTCCTATTTCAGTTGGATTACATCAAGGATCATCCATAAGCCCATATATTTTTGCTTTAGTCATTGATGTTCTCATTAGACATTTGCAAGATGTTGTACTTTGGTTTATGCTTTTTGCTGATGTTATTCTTCTTTTTGATAAGACTAGGGAGTGAGTCAAAGGTAAACTTAAATTATGGAGGCCAACTTAGAGTTTAAAAGCTTTCGTTTGAGTATATTTAAAACTAAATATATGAAGTATAAATTTAGTAATAATATATCTAATGGGAGGATTGTGATTGTATGTGATCAAGTCATTAATAAAAGTACACATTTTAAATATATTGGGTTTATTGTTGAGAGTGATGGTGAAATAGATTGGGATATTATTAGTAGAGTTCAAGTTAGATGGTTGAAGTGGAGGAATGATGTGGGCTTGTTGTGTGATAGAAACCTACCCCTCAAAAAAAAAGGGAAAATTCTATAAGATGGTAGTGAGACTTGAAATGTTTTATGGTGCAGAGAGTTAAACATTAAAAGAGAAGCATAATATTAAGTTAAGTGTTGCAAAGATGAGGATGCTTAGGTGGATGAGTGGCTTTACTCTTAGAGACAGGATACAAAATGAGCATATACATGAAAAAGGTTGGAGTAGCTCCAATATGAGATAAAATTAGAGAGAATCGCTTTAGATGGTTTGGTCACATAAAATGGCGGCCTTTCGATGACCCAATTAGAAATAGATGTATTATATTTGACTTATGTTAAGAAAGGTAGAGGTAGACCTAAAAAGACTTGGTTAGAAAAAATTAAAAATGACATTTGTTAGATTTAGATGAGAATTTGACTCTTAATAGGACAAAATGGACAAAACTGGTCCCACATAGTGGGATAAAGGCTTGTTGTCGTCGTTGTTGTTGTTGTAAACAACAATACAGAGTGTGCATTAAGAAAACAATTATTTAAAAAAAATCCTTATGGCACAGCTGTGTATAAGCTCCAAAAGATTGAGAATAAACAAAAAAATAAAGAAACTATTGAAATCATTATATCAAAGCTTGTACACAACAATGCACGGTGTGTATTAAGAAAAAAACAATATTTTCAGAAAAGCTTTCCTAATACACAAGTGTGTATATGCTCAAAAAGATTTAAATAAATAAAAACAACATAGAAAATGTTGGCATCTTGTTATTTAAGCTTGCACACAACAATACACAGTGTTTATTGGGAAAAAAAAAATCACATTTCCATGTATAAGTATAGAAAGAATTAAAAAGAGGAAAAAATTCACATATAATAAGCATGCCACAACATTTGTACAATTGAGAGAATTTTTGAACTTTAAAAAATTTATAATTTTACATAAAGTTTTATATTATTTCTGTAAAAAAGCATGCCTCTTCCGGGCATTTGAATATAAATATTGAATAATACACCCTAACAATCTCTAATTGAATTTCATTCGCCTATTTATAGTAGATGCAAAAAAGGCGACAATTGAATGCCATAAACCCTAAATCTAACAACTATTTTGAAATAAATCACAAACAGAGTATCTAGCTTTGTCGTTTCAACATATCTAGTGATAAAGTGTCACTTTGGAGATAAATTTGACCTTACGAACCAGCCTATTAGAAGAAGAGAACAGTCCTTCGAAGATGAAGAGCGCCTGAATTGAAAGAAGAGCCAATCCTTGTTCTACGATGAAAGGTGACCCAACTCCGAATGTCTGAACTTTTGGTTTGCCGCAATATTAAAATTTTCACCTATGGAACACTGGACTAGGTCGGGTCATCAAGCCACGTGTTAGCATTTAATTGGTGTATGGATGGAGTGCTACGTCCGGACTCCGCTCATAATAATTTATTGAAAGGGAGAGATGGAAAGAGTAAGGGATATATAAAAAAGAGATAAAAGTATAGATGCTTTGAGAGCGATAGAGAGGAGTGAGAGATAATGGAATGAGGAGAGAGAAAGATAGTAAGAATATGTAGCAGATAGAGAGAGAAAAATGTGGCTCATCTTGTTCTTGGATTCGAAACTTATGTATGTGATGTATGTATTAATTTGACTTAACTGACACAAAAATCTCAAAAAAAAAAAAAAAGTTAGGGAGA